ATGCTTTTTCTGCATCTATGGAGATAATCATATGGTTTTTGTCCTTGGCTTTATTGATATAGTGTATTACATTGATTGATTTTCATATATTGAACCATCCCTGCATCCCTGGGATGAATCCCACTTGATCAGGGTGTATGAAAAAAGTAGCCTATGTCAGATATTTTGTTATAGTAATGAGGAGCTGACTAATACACACAGAATTCCAGGTTGGTTTTGTCTCCAGAAATTAAGCGCCTCAATGTTACCTTGCCCTAGATTGGAAGATGGTGTTTTATCTGACTTTCCTCATAAAGACTTTCTATTATGTTACATGTTATAGTTTGGATTTGGACTGTACTCCAAAGGCTCATGTGTTGACATCTTGGTCCCCATGCAGCAATGTTCAGAGGTGGGGCTTTTGGGACCCCATCAATGGATTAACCCACTGATGGGTTATAATTTGATTGGATATTTAGAAGAGATAGAAACTTTGGAGGTGGGATCTAGTTGAAGGAAGTAGGTCCTTGGGAGCATGCTTTTGGGAACTGTATTTTGTGCCTGTTTTCTCCCCCCTCCTCTCTCTCCTCTGCCTCTCTCTCTCCATCCTGGCTGTCATGAAGTGAACAGCTTTTATTTGCCACACTCTTCTGCCATGAAGTATTTTCTCACCACAGTCCCCAAAATGATAGAATTAAGTGATCATGGACTGAAACTTTGGAACCCAAATCAAACTTTTCTCCTTTAAGTTGTTCATCTCAGGTATTTCATCATAGCAACAGAAAGCTAACTAACCCATTAGAGTTCTTGCTTTTGCTGAAGGATAGCCTGTAGAGACACTGAGATGGGAAATAATGATAAAACATGTGTGAAGACTATTGAATTAAGAAATAGCCTTGCTTTGGTTTGGATAAGTATCCCTCAAAAGACTATATGTTTAAAGGTTGGTTACAAGGATAGTGCTACAGGGCTGGGGATTTAGCTCAGTGGTTCCGACACCTGCCTCGAAAGTGCAAGGTCCTGAGTTTGATCCCCGGTACAAAAAAAAAAACAAGGTCAGGCAGGTCTGCCCACACCTTACTGAGGTCCCCAGTCCCGCGGAACATGCCGAATCAGCCCGCTGCAGACAGGCAGGTCTGTGCATGCCCTACCGAGGTCCTGGTCACGCGGGAGACACCGAATCACCCCGCTGCAGACAGGCAGGTCTGGCCACACCCTGCCGAGGTCCCCAGTCACACGGAACACACGCCGAATCAGCCCACTGCAGACTGGCAGGTCTGTGCGTGCCCTACCAAGGTCCTGAGTCACGTGGAAGACACCGAATCACCCCACTGCAGACAGGCAGCCACCTGATTCCACATTACAAAGGTGCAGAGGACACCAGACCACCAGACCGAGGTACTGAGTCCCACTGTTCCCAGCCCAGAGGTAGGGGCTTCTGAGCCATTGTCCCACTGCTCCTGGTCCAGAGGAAGGGGCTTCCCAGTCACCATCCCTCCCGCTGCTCCCAGCCCA